TAGGGGTGGGAACGAATCAAATAATCAAAAAATAGTTAGTTATTTTTTTCGGCTAAATATCCAATCGTGTTCGACTCAACGGTTCATTTAATAATAAATGAATATTTTTTCTATTCGATTCATAATCGAATAGAATTTAATGAAACATATGTTCGATTCGTTAGGCTATTAGCTATTCGTTTATGTTTTCTATTTCGGTTCTATTAATTTAACTTATTGTTAATGTTACTAATCCCTTTATTACAAATCCAAAATCCTATAGAAATAAAAAAGTAAATTAATAAAGTAGTTAATATGGAAAAACAAAGTAGTGAATATTAATAAAAGGACCACATGTTTCCCTTTGGGGAGTTGGTCTAGCTCTCCCCATGTGGAGAGACTGTAAGCCTAAAGATTTTGATTATGAGGGCTGATGGAGCAGATTACTACACATCGAAGTTGTTTTACTTTTTCAAGCTAAAAATAAATAAATAAATTATTGAAGCATTATGCCATTAGTTTTCCTTTTTTTTGTTGTTGCAAAAAGAGTAGATACAAGTGATGTTTGGTAGGGGTGGAAATGAATCAAATAATTAAAAAATAGTTAGTTATTTGTTCAGCTAAATATGCAGTCATATTAAACTCGACAACTCATTTAAAAATAAATGAATATTTTTTCTATCTGATTCATAATCGAATAGAATTTAATGAAATATATATTCGATTCGCTAGACTATTAACTAATCTCTTTATTACAAATCCAAAATCCTATAGAAATAAATAAGTAAATAAAGTAGTTAATCATACCCCCATTAAAAGCACGAGTTTGGAAAAATCTTTCGGTAGACAAAAATACCCTTAAAATTCAAATACTAATCTATTAAGTAAGAGTAAGTTAATAAATTGATGAATTCTTATTGGATATACATAGTATGAAAATAAGAATATAGTTTAATTGAAATGTAAACATAAATAAAATTATTAAATGTCTACTTTACAAATGTATACAAGATGAAGGGCGTATATGCAAAAACCAAACAAATCAACGAGACAAATAATGTCTACCCCAAAGGTCGAACCTAGGAACAAAGTAGACCTACAAATGTACATAATATGAATGAAATATTTGTAAAATCCACCAAAAAAATTAAAGAGACAAGAGTCGTTCTCAACATTATAAAAAAATAAAATAAATGGCTGTTGTAGGCATAAAAAATTACCTATAGATTACAAAGAAGCTCAAATCTGACAAAAACGCTGATATCTCTCAAAACGAAGAGAATTTGGTGAAATGAATGGTGGCAAACCAAACTTCGGTTGGTTTGGTTAGCCCAAGTCTCGTCGAGATAGGCGATTTTTATATATAATTCGTCCAATTCTGACTTATGGTTTGAAAGTTATGACCTGTTCTTCGCAGCATGTTCTGAAGTCCGCCTGAACTGGTCGAACCTCACCTGAACTATTGGACCAAGCCTATAGGTCTTCGGAATACAGCTCGAGACGAAGAGAAGATGAACGTCATTATCTAAGTCAAAAGAGATCACCTGAGGCCAAAAAAGAAGCAAAGGAATGCGTACGAAACTTCGAAACTTGCGCAAAACGACGGAACAAGACCAAACCGGGAAATCAAAAAATCCCAGACACCTCGAAGTGACTCAGAAATTCTGAGTCACCTCAATGTGACTCGGAACAGTGCCAAGTCACATCGAGGTGACTCGCATAATGAAGTTACCAATGACGTGTTTTCGGATGATTTTCTCGGGATTCGTTTGATCTACTGCCTCCCTAACTACCTTGGGATCATCCCTAAACATGGTTAAGTCATTATTAACTAAAGATAAGATCAAATCATGATATCTTATCCTAAAACACTGCATTCGAAGCTTATAAATACACCCCTAGGGCCCCTATGCACGGGAGATCTGGAATTTAGAGCTTGGAGGCGAGGTGCTGACCCTGTGAGAGCAGACCTACGAATATCAGAGAGAGGATAGCGAGATTTTGGCAAACTTCAACATAAAAAGGAAGATTTCGAGACATCTGAAGCCTCTTTTCATCCTTCCCTCGAGATCAGACCTTGTTTTGATCTTGAGAAGAGTAATAATCTTACTTGGTTGAGATTATTTACTTCAATTCTAAGTTTTCTCGATTGAAACAAAGAACATTAAGCCTTCGTGTGCATCAACCATATCTGATATTTGGCGGTCCACGGATCAAAGAGTCCCCAACAAGCATCAAAGCCATTAAATTCCTCAACATGCAAGTATGTGGCCTGATAACTAGCTCAAGACATAAAACCAACCTTCCTTTTGTCATAAATAAATCAATAAACTGTTAGTTCCAAGTTGAAGATATTAGGAAATGGAGGTGATGGATGCTAAGTCGGGGGCACAACTGCAATTAGGGTAAACTATGGATAATTGAGTGAAAATTGTACAACATAAAAAACCGATTTTTACTAAGCAAGGTATATTAATTGGATACACCTATAGCAATTAATTGCAAGGTATATTAATTGGAATATATGCAGTGAATTAATTGCAAGTTGTATAAGATCTGTATACAACTATATATAGGTACTTTAGTGCAATTAAACAAAACAAGGGTATAGTAATTGCAAAGTAGGGGAAACTATAGGTACTTAAGTGAAAATTAAACCAAACAGGGATTTGTTCCTTACCGTCGAACTTGGGGAAAACGCGACGGTGGGGTGGCGCTAGGACGGTGCGGCGGTGGTTCTGGGACGAGGCCGACGGTGGGGCGGAGCTAGAGGTTGCGCTGAGGTGCGAGGTTTTCTTGGTCGGCAGCGGATCTAGGGATGCGCTGAGGCAGCGACGAGCGATGATATGAGTCGGCGGGAGACTGTGGGGCGGCGGGCGAGGAGTTGAATAGATGAACAGGAGGCAGCACGGAGGCGTTGAATAGATGAACAACGGCGGAGGAGGAGAGTTGAAACAAGGCAGCGGAGGCGTGAAATCAATGAACAGGAGGCGCTAGAGTTTGTTATTAGGGTTTAGTTTATAATTAGTTGCGGTTAATTGGAGGTTTGGGTTTTGGGTTTTTTATATTATTTTCAATAATAATCCAGTTAAGATTAGGAGTTATGATTAGTAAAGGTAATTGACTCCTTCGTCTTTTAGGAGACCCAATAACGACGGTATTAGAACCAAATCAACGAAGGGATTAGAAAACCGTTATCCCATCTCACATCATTACTCTAATAATTGTGATAACTAGATGAAGGGCTTTAAAACCATCGTTATTTTACACACATTAATGACGGTCAACTGTTCCCTTCACTAATTTTGGTCGTTAAATATCAGATTTCTTGTAGTGTCTCTCCTTTTTTCATTGTACTTAAATTGTATATCATTCATTGCGATGAGAACTCACCTGGGTCCTCTGCTTGCCTTCAATGTCCAATAAAAAAACAATGTATCAAGCCTTATAGTTAGTTAATAATGAGATCCTATCATTATAAATAAATTAAGTAAAGATTAATCATTCCTAAGAATGTATTGCATTCTCTTAGCTTTCACAGCAAAATTGTTAGTTGTTTATTCCTGACCCAAGAGATTTTTAAAATTAATCTTGAGGGTTGCTTGCATTAAAAAAGTTTTGTTAGAGGGTCCATACAGTCTGTTTTATAGTTTAAGATTGTCAACACATTTTGTCTCTGATGCATATCAATTATGAGTATAATATAATTTAATTGATCTAAGTATATCCTAATATATTTCTGGACTCTTGTTCTGTCTTTTGCTCTTTATTATATACCAATCTGATATCACAAATTGATATAGACGATGAAGACACTATTGTAGAAATTGCCCAAGAAAAAGATAAAGGTGGAGAATGATGATCTCGGCTCAATTAAATATAAAAAAAGGAACAAAGGATAATATTTTTTGAATATTTTATAGTAAAACTTAGTTCTTTTGAGTAAAATTAGAAATCTTCAGAAGGGATTTTGATGCAAAATTTTTAATATGCTTATGTGAATGATTTCGTCATATAAAATTATACTAGAGTCCCTAGTAATATTTAGCATTTGTTTTTTTATTTTAAGTCTATCAATAATTAAGATGTCTCGTAGTCTTGTGAAAAGTATGTACTTTGTGCTGAGCTTATACAAATCATCTTAGTATTAAGTGTTTGCGTCGAAAGTTGTTTTCATTGCTGAATCTGTTACACGTTTATCGATTACAGATTCAAAGTAAAATTAGTCTTTTTATAAGACTTTATTTACACAATAAAAATAAAAAAAACACAACTCTCTAAAAAACACGTAGATGACGTTTATCACCCGCTGCTTGCGTAGGATCTTTACCTGTGTCGGAGGTGCGTTAGCCCGTGGACGATCGAATCACAGATCCAGATTGATCCTAATAAGGCTTAAGGTCGATGTTTCGTTTTAGAAATAAGGACAGAAGTGGATATCTCTACAAGGTAAGTTAAAACACTCTTCTCAAGATCAAATCAAAGGTTAGATCTCGAGGAAACACCGAAAGCTCTTGAAAGTGCTTGAAATTGATGAAGACTCTTGCTCAAAATTCACTAAATTGCTCAAGTCTCTACTCTTTCTACCTTGGTCCTCGTGAACATAGGTGATAGGGAATCATTTATAGTCCCTAGACGCAATTACTGAAGGTAGAAAGTCAAAACAAAGCCCAAGTGACATCCTCTATTACCGAGACACGTTCTATGTCTCGGAAGAAGGAGTTCAGCCAGTCCGTTTTGTAACCGACTTCCCACATTTAAGTGCCATTATTTCTGTAGTTATGAGCGTGCTTTTCATTTGTAACGGTCCTCCCACGTTCACACACGATCCCCAGCAGTTATGAAGTCACGTGGGCCGCACAAAACCCAAGAAAACCGTCAACGGAAGTGTGAAACTCCCTCATAGCTTCTGAGACAGTATCCGTGTCTCGGAAACTATGGGTTGTCTCATAGTTTTCGAGACACATTCCATGTCTCGAAAACTATGAGCAATATTGTAGTTTCCTAGACACTTTCTTAACCTCAGAAATTGCACGCTTCCCCATCGTTTTGCATTTTTGTGCATTCCTTGTATTGGATGATCCTCTTTGACTCAGATGATGACGTTTATTATCTTCTCTTCATCTCGACCTGTGTGCAGTAATCTATAGGCAATTTTTAACGCCTACATTAAGTATTTGGTTATATTTTATTAACACATCAACAATACATTATTGTATTTTTTTCAAACTTAACTCTACATTTAATGACTAAGATAAACAAATTGGAGATCGACGATTTGATCTGATAAACAAATATATTACATGAAGTTTGATATGTACAAATTTTAAAAAATAATATATTGTATGCAAGTATATAAAAGTATATTGATCCTAGTTTTACATGTAAATCTATTTCATAAAATTTTAAAAAATATTTAAATAAAATTTATGGTAAATGTAATAATCCATGTTTAAAGATTAACTCAAGATGAATCTGACTTATTTTATAGCAAGAAAATAAACAAAAAAATAAATAATTTTGATATTTAACTACGTGCATCGCACGTGTATAAGAACTAGTATAGTAAAATAAAGTAGTAAATATGGCAGACACAATTGAAATTTCTTGCATAAACTATAAATAGGTCTTGTCTTATGCTGGCCCAATTAATCCCTCAAATATGAGCCTAGGGTTTTCATCTCTCACATCTCTGATGGAATTAAATCTTCACAAATATTTGCGAATAATTCTTGTATTTATATAGAAATAAATGACTAGAATTTGAATCTGATCTAATATTCGTCTCGAACTCGAACATAAATTCGAAGGTTTCAACTTGAGCCGAGTTCAAAGTCGAACATAGTGCCCTTCGATTGGATTCGATTCATTTCCACCTCCTAATGTTTGGTACAATAATGGATACTCTTGGAGAAATATAATGTGCGGGTTTGTGAGAAACTAGAAATGCAATGGGAACTGTTATAATTTTTATGCTAAACTACACAAAACCCCTTTTGTTTGGCCATTTCTCTGATAAACCCTTAACTTCCAAAATGGTAAAAAACCAAACTTAAGTTTTGGGGTTCTCAAAAAAACCTTCGACTTTAAAGGTGTAGAAATCTAAGGAGAAATTTGGAGAGAACTGTTTTCCTTGATCAAGAAACAATACAAATAATTACAACTTATACTGCTAGCTGACAAGATAACCAATTATCTCAACCGCATAATTATCTCATATCTAATAAGTAACCAACTAACTAAAATATCATAACATCAACACTCCCCCTCAAGTTGGCGCAAACACATCGTGAATGCCCAACTTGCCTAACAGGAAATGAAACTGCTGTCTAGCAAGTGCCTTCGTGAAAATGTCCGCTGGTTGAAACTGTGAACGGATGTGCGCCATAACGATGTTTCTAGTCTGCACTTGCTCACGAAAAAAATGACAATCTATCTCAAAATGCTTCGTCTGCTCATGAAAGACTGGATTGACTACTATGTGAATAGCCGACTGATTATCACAAAATAGCTCCATCAGCTGTCTATGATCCACCAAAAATGAAGTCAACAATGACTTCAACCATACAAGCTCACTCATTACAGCTGCCATAGCTCGGTACTCTACTTCTGCCGACAATCTCGAGACAGTGCTCTGCTTCTTCATTTTCCATGAAATGGGTGACTCCCTGATTGTGATGAAGTAACCACTAACTAAGCGACGAGTAATTGGACAGCTCACCCAATCTGAGTCGTAATAGGCTCCCAATCTCAAATCACAATTAGATCGTAGTAGAATCCCTTGGCCTGGACTTCCCTTGATGTATCCCACAACTCGCATTGCTGCCTCAAAGTATTCTTTGCGAGGCACTTGAGCAAACTGAGAAAGAACATGAACTAAGTATGAAATCTCTAGACGTGTGATGGTTAAATAGATCAAACGACAAACAAGTTGTCGATAAGCCGCACCATCTATCTCCTTCCCCTCGGCCAGAGCAAGCTTGTGGCCCTGCTTCATAGGTGTCTCGGCCGGGTTACTTCCAAGTAAGCCAGTCTCCGCAAGAATATCCAAGGCATACTTTTTTTGACACAAGGAAATGCCAATCCGCAACCTAGCAACTTCAATGCCAAGGAAAAATTTTAAAGAACCCAAATCCTTGATATGAAAGCACTCATGTAAGTAGCGTTTGAAAGCCGTACATTCATCATGGTTATTCCCGGCCAATATAATATCATCGACATACACAAGAAGGACCATGAACACACCATGTCAACAATAAGTAAATAAAGAATAATCCGCCAAGGATTGAGAAAAGCCATACCGCTTGAGTGCTCTGGTCAATTTGTTGAACCAATTTCGTGAAGCTTAGCATAGTCTGTAAATGGATTTATGAAGACGGAAAATGCGATTTCCACAATCAGTTCGAAAGCCTTGAGGTAGCTTTATGTATACTTCCTCATCGAGATCTCTATGTAGGAAGGCATTATTCACGTCCATTTGGTGTAGCTCCCATCCTTGCGTCGTTGCCACTGAAAGAAAAACTCGAACTGAAACAAGCTTTGCAACTAGGGCGAACATCTCATGAAAATCGAGTCCTTCTACTTGCATGAATTCCTTGGCAATGAGTCTCACTTTGTACCGTTCCACAGTCCCGTATGCTTTGCACTTGACTTTGTAAACCCAACGACAGTCAATTGGCTTCTTTTCTTTAGGCAATACTTCAAATGTCCAGGTTTGGTTAGCCTCAAGTGCTTCAATTTCCTTGGCCATTGCTTCATGACATCGTTCATTCTGAACTGCCTCTGCATAGGACTTTGGTTCCACATCTGAAGTAATAGCTCCAACAAAACACCGATGACTCTGTGACAAATTATCAAACGTTACATAACGAGCTAAGGAATGAGGTATACCTGAGTCGCTTTCATGTCGTGGTAGCTATCATTTCCAGCTAAATCTTTAGATTTTTGAGGCAAAAAAGATGCATGATTGGCTGACAAAACACCATCGCTGCTCAGCCAAACCTGTTGAACCTCTGCCGCCGACGAAACACCGTCACTGTTCAGCCGAACCTGCTGGACCTTTACCCTTCCTTTGTCGTCTCTCTACCAGCACGCACAGTCGTGCATTAGTGCACCAGGGAGTCGTGCACACTGCTGCCTTGTAGCACTCAGCCCAGCCAATCCGTGTGTATAGCCGCGCACACGCTGCTGTTGTGCATGTCAATGTCCAAACTCCAGTTGTGCACAACCTTGCATTTTTGCATGCCACTGTTGTGCATGCCGCTGCCCAAACTCCAGTTGGTCACTCCGTTGCCATCCAGTCCTTGCCGAATAAAGGAAAAAACCTTTGATACATGCTGGTGTTTTAGTCTCTCTTCTCGGCCACCTAGCTACCCCTTCGGCTTGAGCTATAACCTCACGAACCGGGCTCGCATCATCCTCACTAATTGGACTCGCATCTTCTCCCTCATCTCGAGTACCAACATTATGAGTTGCTTCAAGCTCCTCAATTATCTCATCATCACAATCGAAATCATCATATGGCCCAAATACATGATTAGAAACATTACGAGCATGAGATTTAAGGCTTTTATCACTTCGAGCAAATGGAAAAACATCTTCATGAAAAGATACATCCCTTGAGTAGAAAAACTCATTTTTCTCCAAATCATAAAGTCGCCAACCCTTTTTGCCATGTGGATAGCCTGTAAACACACATTTCCTACTTCTTGAGCCAAACTTATCTTTTTATCTAGGATTATTGTGTGCATAACATAGGCATCCAAACACCTTGATATGATCATACATAGGTTTCTTTCCAAATAAAATTTCATAAGGCATTCTCTTATCTAGTTTAGCAGTGGGTGTACAGTTAATAAGATAAACCGTGGTTAAAATACATTCTCCCCAAAAAATTAATAGGCAAAGAAGCTTGAAAACGAAGTGCTCTAGCCACTTCAAGAATATTCCTATGTTTCCGTTCAACTCTTCCATTTTGTTGAGGTGTATCTGTACAACTAGTTTCGTGCACTATTATATTTTCCTCATAAAATGCTCGCATAGGCCCCTCAACTTCAAGACCATTATCACTTAGAATACGCTTCACAGATTTATCAAATTGTGTCTTGACAAGTATACAAAATAGCATAAGAAACTTTTTAGCCTCACTCTTTTCCTTCATCAAATACACCCAAACTCCTCGACTATAATCATCAACCAAAGTAAGAAAGTAATATGCACCACAAGAAGCAGGTTTCGAATACGGTCCCCACAAATCACAATGAACTAATTCAAAGGAAGTAGTAGCATTAATCTTACTTAATGGAAAAGGAGAACGTGTTTGTTTTGCCCTATATCAAACATCACAGACAAGTTTATTCATGGAATCGAAATAACCAATATCCGAGATAAAAGATAGATGCCGACTATTCTGATGTCCCAGTCGCCGATGCTAAACTAAGTGTGAGTCATCTCGCTCCACTCTCATTGTTGAATGTGCCCATATAGCCTTGTACCAATAACCCCCCCCTCCCAAAGCTCACCTACTCTAATCAGCATCCTCGAGGTATGATCCTGTATTACACAAAGCTCATTAGTAAATGTGTTATTTGACAATTTAACACAGAAATCAACTAATAAATTGATATTAAATTGCAAGTTAAATACGACACATATAGAACATCGGTCAACACCATTCCTAGACTTAAAACAACGTGACCAACCATCGTCGTCATCGTTCTTGCCCCATTAGGCAAATAAACAGACACCAGAATCGTATTCTTGAGATCACTCAAAAACTCCTTACCAGTCATGTGATTCGAAGCCCCACTGTCAAGTATCCAAGTAGGAGGCTTAGAATCCTTACCATAAAGCTTATCGGTGTTATCACCAGAGCGATCCAACATGTTTAGTAGTTTCTGAAACTGCTCCATCGATAAAAACTTGAGTGCCGGCGCTGCTACTTTCTTTGGCTAGTCCTCCTGCTACCATGGCATAGGCCTGACCTCGCCCTTGGAACTTCTCAATGCGTTTGTGTCCTGTTCGGCCCTTGTACCAAGCCGGGTAGCCTTGGAGCTCGAAGCAATTCGCGACGTCGTGCCCTAACTTGTGACAATGTGAACAAATTTTCTCTACATCACTTCGCTGTTTTGTACAAGATTGTCCAGCTCCTCTTCCCTTAGCCACTGTATTAACCTCCATCACCATCACCTCAGGGCGCTCCTCTTATCCTCATACAATCGATCAGTGCCTTTCTTCTTTAGTAATCATAGTATAAGCTTTGTTGATAGGAGGCAAAGGTTCCATGTTGAGTATTTGAGATCGCACCATACCGAAAATAGCATCGTCGAGTCCCATGAGAAATTGATGTAATTTCTCTTCTTCGCGCTCACGAAGGAAGTCATGCACTGCTCCACAAGTACAACTCGACACCCTAGAATAGCTACAAAGTTCAGCCCACATACTTTTTAATTGTGTGTAGTATGCCATCACCGTCATCCCATTTTGACTAGTCGAGGCAATCTGGCCTTTCAACTCATGAATTCGAGGTGCGTTCCCATTTGAAAATGATCACGTAGATCTTCGCAAATTGCTTTAGCTGTCTCCTCATAGGCTATACTCGGCTGAATGGACTTCTCGATAGAGTTGAAAATCCAAGAAATCAGCATCGAGTTACAAGAGGACCAACTACTCGCCTCCGGTGTATCCGGTGCCGGCTTATCCAGTGTACCATTAATAAACCCTAATTTGTTCTTCGCTTAAAGTGTGTTCGTCATCGCCTTCACCCACATATCGTAGTTTTCTCCATTCAGAATGCACGTGGTAATCACCGCTCCCGAGCTATCTGAAGGATGCAGAAAAAATGGAGAAGACATATCCAATGCCTTCTTGTTGGCTGCATTTCTCTCTGTCATGATATGAGCAAAGAAAAAGTGGTGTTTGATAGCGATGCAATAGGGTTTCGAGGGGGGGGGGGGTTTTGGNCTTTTGGTAGGGTTAAAGTTTCTCTCAAAAATCTCTAACCTGCTCTAATACCATATAGAAATCTGAGAAGAAATTTGGAGAGAACTGTTTTCCTTGATCAAGAAACAATACAAAGAATTACAACTTATACCGCTAGCTAACAAGATAACCAATTATCTCAACCGCATAATTATCTCCTATCTAGCTAATAAGTAACCAACTAACTAAAATATCATATCATCAACAAAACGTAGTTAAGAAAATCCTCGTAATAGCATTAGCTTGGGTTTTCTTGGGACAAAACTTATGACATTTTGAAAATTAAGGCGGTTGTCTTAGAAATGTTCATGTTTACGGGTTTCACAAACGTATTTGGATCCTCTCCACTACAAAAAAGTAGTGGAGAGACCACTACTTTTAATCTCAATGGTTGATTATTTAGTAGACGGTTAAGATACAATCTAAATCTAACACTTACCATACCCTCGTGTATTGCACTCATTTCTAATTTGCACTAAAAGAAAAAATCACAACCATCAACTAGATAATTAATGGTTGTGATTATGTAGTGGTCCCTCCACTATTTTTTAGTAGTGGAGAGGATTCGAATCCTTTCACAAACTCCTCCTTGAATTAGAACGAAAGGTAGAAGTAACGGCATAGTTTTGAGGGTTTTCTAGCATAAATTAAGTGGGTTTTGTGACATTTTGAAAGTTAAGAGGTGTTACTTGAGAAATGCCGCTGTGTATGTGAAATTTAAACTAGTTTTTAACTTCACCAAACCAAGTGATGATATGTTTTATTTGTTAATCTTTTTTACACTACAAAAAACTCCCATAGAAACAATGTGTGAACAACAAGTTTTTCTTTATTTTTATTTTTCCACTCTGAACAAAAAACAGCAAGATGGGGACCCGATCAAGGGGGTGAAAAGAGAATATCCTTTTTCCTTTGCTTTGGGCGAGATGTTCCTTTCCTTGTTTTGTTTTGTGTTTTTGTAGGCTACGCGTGCATAAAGAAAAGCAGAGAGAAGAAGCGTTTCCTTGTTTTTTACGTTACTTTTTTTTTCCTCTTTTTGAGCGTTTGCTCTTGCTTAGGCCGACAGGGGAATTTTCGCATTTAACCCTTTGCTTTGGGCGAGATGTTCAAGCTTTTGAATTCGTAGCCATGAACATGCATGTTACTTAGAATTATATTGAGATAAAATTGTTCGTAATGCATGATATTTTGCATATTGTACATATTATGTAGAATTTTCAAAAGAAAAACAATATGGTAATTTAATCTCTTTCTACCGTAATAATTGCGCAAACAAAAATGCATGATTTGCCTATAATTGAATACCAAATTATGTTATTAAATTTTCAGTTTGGGTAGTTTTTTCCCCTTTTCTTTTTTCACCTCAAATTATTAAAGAGTCAAAGAGCATAATACAAAACAGTGGCGGAGCCTTTTTTTTCTTTTTCTTTTTTTTCTTTTTCTTTTTTTTTCCCTTTGGAGTGCAGGGCGTGTGGAGAACACAACTAACGTACTATGCATCAATTAATTAAGAAATGAGCAAATATTACAATGTATAGTTAACTGTCATATATCAAAGAAAAATTCTTTAAGGACCCAAAATATGGGACCAATAGGGGGGACAAGTAAGGTGTCCCCCTCCTATTGGATAATGAGTTGGCCATCATTAATGATGGCCAACTCATTATCCAATAGGAGGGGAACACCTCACTTGTCCCCTTTATTGGTCCCATATTTTGGGTCCCTGTAGCAAAGCTCTATATCAAAAGCTTGAACTTTATGAAATTAAAAGACCCACATTCAACGCAAAATTGTAGAACCACGTGAAAATATAAATGCTATCTCCGAGTTCTGTTGCTAATAAATGCAAAAGTAATTGGACGTTGTAACCTCACTTCATTAATACACTTAAAATATGAGCTTTGCTACAGGGACCCAAAATATGGGACCAATAAATATGACAAGTGAGGTGCCCCCCTCCTATTGGATAATGAGTTGGTCATCATTAATGATGGCCAACTCATTATCCAATAGGAGGGGAACACCTCACTTGTCCCCTTTATTGGTCCCATATTTTGGGTCCCTGTAGCAAAGCTCTATATCAAAAGCTTGAACTTTATGAAATTAAAAGACCCACATTCAACGCAAAATTGTAAAACCACGTGAAAATATAAATGCTATCTCCGAGTTCTGTTGCTAATAAATGCAAAAGTAATTGGGCACTGCAACCTCACTTCATTAATACACTTAAAATATGAGCTTTGCTACAGGGACCCAAAATATGGGACCAATAAATATGACAAGTGAGGTGTCCCCCTCCTATTGGATAATGAGTTGGTCATCATTAATGATGGCCAACTCATTATCCAATAGGAGGGGAACACCTCACTTGTCCCCTTTATTGGTCCCATATTTTGGGTCCTTAAAGAATTTTTCTTGAAATATATACAAAGATTACATAGAGGTACATAAAGCACCCTAAATATATCACACTAGATTTAGCTAAAACTGTTTTACTAAATACAAAAGATTACATAATAAAGGTACGCAAGCAGTTTACGAATTCCTTTTTTAGATTTAGCTAAGACAAAATCCACGTTACAAATAAACTAATTTTCATTTTGCTACCACTAAGGTAACAAGTGGGTCCTCAGGTAAGTTAATTAATTATATTGGAGCATTCAGTTAGTGGAGATGCAAGAACTTGAAGTTTGGTCAACATATCATTTTTTTTTCACTCTTTAGTAAAGTTTAATTATTTTTTTACTAGCGAGTTAGTAGGGGTCTAGGAGAAAGCAACATGGCATTTTGAGCTTGTTAATTAATTAATTAGGTGCCCACACAAGATCTATGGTATATTTTGAGACCCAAATCTCTTCACTGAAGCACACGGCATTGTTTTCTTGATGCAAGCACTGAATGTTTGGGTCGTGTCTTCACCGGATTGTGATCCTCTACTAAGGCATATTGTCTCCTAATATCTCCTAATGCATCTCCACCTTTCGTTTTGTGCATAAGCACAAAATACGAGGAGGTACTATGCAATGAAAGGTTGGGATGCATTAGGAGATATTAGGAGACACTATGACTTAGTAGAGGATCCCAATCCAACTACACCAACCACTTATACAGAGAAAATGTGATCTAAATCTTTTATCTTTCTATAAGGGCATCTCCAACCCAGCCTCATTTTGGTGCAAACAGTGCTTTTTGTTACACTGTTCCTTCTCCAATCCAGCCTCATTTTCTACTCCATTTTTGTACAAATGAACAGTGTTGCACCAAATATGGCGTCACACTGTTCATCCGCCCCATTACTGTTCACTTTTTTTTTAATTTTTTAAATATTTGTTTTTACCTCTCAATTAATATAAAAATAGATAAAAGGGAATAAAGTGAGAATATACTGAGAATATTCTTTTTTGGTGCAAAAAATGGTGCAATGGGTTGGAGATGTATTACTGTTTGATGTGACTTTTGCACCATTTTGATGCAAAATTTGTACCATTTTGGTGCAATGGGTTGGAGATGGTCTAATTAGCATTCATTGTGCTCTATCTATATACGTACACACATATTAAAGAGTACAATGGTTGTGATTAAATTGTACATATGTGGACTAAAAGGTCTAATCCTAGCGGGGAAAAAAAAATTCACATCCTAATGATACAAATCTCTCCTCTTAGATATTTTCATCCGCAAACAATCTATCTCATAACATTGGCATTATGAATGGTACTATGAAAAAACTCACAACCCTAAACCTAGAGCCCATAAAAAGCCACTTTTTATGTGGCCCTTATGTCCACCAAGGTTACACCAACCATCACTTTTCAATGCGTAGAGAACGCACGTCTCCCTTCACTCCCAAGCTTGTCACACTTACCTTTATTTAAAAAAATAAAAAAAAAAATAAAAAATAATAATAAAAATAATAAAGAGGAGGGAATGTTTGGAAAGGCTAGCTGTTGGGAGTGTCCAGAAAAAGCAATTGCCTTTCAACTCTTGCCTCAGGTTGACATGCACACATAAAGCTATCAATGTGTATAGCTTGTATCATCATCAATATCAATATGAAGATAAAAGCATAACAAGCGCAAGAGGCTCGGTCGTCATGGTCTC